TTGCTGGTGCCGTCAGTGCTCGGGAAATGGCGCTGCCGGAGCTGGCGATTGAGCCTGGACAGGGAATCGCTCCGAAATCCTTGATGCACCCTGATTGTTCCGGATGGGGCTGCCCGGTTGACGTCAAACTGGGTCACGTTTGTCATGTGCTGTGTGTTCAGAATGCTTTCCACGGCTAGCCCAGCTGCGCTTCTTCCTGCACTGGACTGCTTGGGATTCAGTGCTGGCTATGAATGCAATGACCTCAAGACCCATCCTGCTTGCTGTGTTCATGTTGTGCTCTTGCAGAAAGCCTTGTGAAGAACAGGAGGCAATGCTTTGTCTTGTCGAGCTCTCAACGGCCACTAAAGCTCAGGTGGCGCTGCTCGTCTTCGCCGCAGGGCTGTCAAGTTAGCCGTGCAAACCTTCGCACTCCAGCCGTGCGTGAATAGCGCTTGTGGCATCGCTCGAACCAACGTGTATTGCAAACGGCAGTATGCAGAAATATGCAGAAGCACCCTGAAGGGAGGTGGGGACCCTTGATGGGGTTGGATCGCCCTGCCCACCTTACATACTGGGTGATGATTGACAGGGACCGGATGCATTTTTCACGAAGGTAAATCCAGTAAACGACAACTCCCACAATCCGTCGGAGAGCCAGCTGTCGTAACCAACACATGGCTCTCCGACAGTGGTGTGCTGTTGCCCTTTGGCAGGTTGAGCCTGGAGTCGCGCAGTGCCCCTTGCAGCCTGCAAGCACCGGGCAGCATACGGCAGGGTTTTGCTATCACCTACGCACTGCTAAGGCTTTCACGAGTCTACCACGTCCTCGTACAACTCATCCAAGTCATCATCCTACGGTGATATCTATTTGCAGCTCATGTCAAGGGTAAGAACCTACAGAAATTGCTTGTTCGGTGCCCCACGCATCCAGACTCTTCTGAGGCATCTGCATCCATCCAACAGTTGCGCCAGTGCGCACTCTTGGTGTTGGACTGTACGAGAAGCTTCATGGCCTCTAGGATATTGCGCTTCGTATTGTGAGAGAGTGGCGAAGGGAAAGAGCGAGGGTCTAACTCTGTTTCGAAATGGGGGCTACCCCTGCCACTTTCACAGGCGACTGCTACCGTGACCTGTTCCGACTGCGACCTGCTTTGCGTTGCTCAAGAACACTCATGCCTGATCCGTGCCCTTACAACGGCGCCTCTTCGTTGGCTGGAACGAACGACCTCAACTGGACCCGCTCTTGGACGGAATCACATCTTCAACCTGTTGGACCCGGCTTGTTACATCTGCTTTGCCTCACCCACCGTGCTTGACAGGTCTTGCCGTCTCACCTTTATCGGACAGTGTTCTATTACTCGAGAAGTTGCTCCGGAGGGAGACAGTGAGCGAGAGAGAGAGAGAGAGAGAGAGAGAGAGAGAGAGACAAAGAGCGAGAGAGGGGGCCCTAGATGGACTCATGTTCACAAAACTGTGACCGCAGGTTTGCTCTAAACACATAATTCATATAACATATACATATATATATATGTGTACAGACGTCTATATATATATATATATATCTCTCTCTCTCTCTCTCGCTCTCTCTCTCCCTCTCTCTATCGAGCAATCTGAGGGTACACTAACTCTGCACGAGACTACCAGCCCCTGTGTGCAAAGATATACACACATACATGCTAATTTGCTTATGTGGATCCTTGCACCAGCCCACCAAGCAGGACTCAAAAACACCGACCATCCAGAGCACTTTGAAGCCATGCAGAACATCTTGTCAGGTGCAGTGGCATCCGGATGTTTCTCACGTCAACCCCGTCGCTCGTGAGTTAGGCAGTTGGGGTGCACAGACCCGCGGCCGTGGCAGTTGGGCTGCATGACGCCTCTTAAAGCCCTCAACACGCTTGTACCTTCCAGACCCGTTAGAATGGAACTCCTGGGACCACTTAGAGTTCCCAGAACCGTCAGAGATGAAGAACCGTTAAAGTGTGACAGTCGAAAATTCAGGAACTCGGAACTTTGAGCACTCCTACACCCTTTTGCGATTTCCACAACTTGTAGAATGATTGGACTCTAGAGCTCGTAGAACTTTTGCTGGTTTACATGGTTCTAGTATGCCTGGAATGTTCAGAGCTTGCTGAAAAGAATTCTACTGCACTTACGTTTCGTTCCATAAACGGCGAGTTATTGCAAACACACGCAACTCTGCGCAAGCACGGATGCAGGAACGAGGTTCTTCATGTTGCATAGCCGATGCTTTCTGAAAAACATTTGTGGCACATGCTTCAAAACTCGTGACAAAGACATGAGCCGATTTATTAGTGTTGGTTAGTTCACTGTTTGTTGTACTAGATTAACAAGAATCTAGACTCTTAAGTAAGGGAACGTAAACAAAAACGCTACAGCATCAACTGTGCATCTTTAAGCAGTGGCGGCAGGTGCCTGCCATTGAGCCTGATACATTCCAGTTTGGGAGTGCATATCGAAACTTATTGTAGCCCCATCACCTTAGATTTAGATTGCGCCCCCAAGACTAAAGGAGGTCCGGCAGTAGCTGGTTTTGAAGTATATAATAGTATTTTGGCTCTCGCTGGCTCAGAAGCGACTCTACTGACCCTACTCCGAAACAAGTTCTGTCAACTCATGGATCCCAATCACGATGCTTGACGTTACGGCTATGCATGAACTATAGCCAAGAGACATTGCAAGTACCAGCCACAAGCTGTGGACACACTGAGGCTAGGCATTCTATTGAAAGAACCCTTTATTGCCGCACTCGAGACTGAAAGGAGCACAAGATTGCTACAAGGAGCTTGAGATCTGCAAGACCAGCAACTGAACCAGAACATAGAAATTGGGAAAGCATCGAGGACAATTTAGCATTCGCCTCAACTCGCATTTGCTGTTTATCCACCACAACAAAACAAAGTGCCTCATAATTGCAACACAATATTTAGCCGCTTGTCGAGCGTGCCGTCGGCGTTGTAAGAAGATGCTCAAAGACACAAGGGCAAGGTACCAGTGGCACCAGTGGCATTGGCTGCGTATCGAAAAGCATAACACAAAACGGCAGGCATTGGTACTTGTGTATAGGACCATGAAAACGTTGTCGCTTCGCAAGTGAGACGAAGAGTGTTATCGGACTTGGACCCACAATGACCCACAGCAAGCACAGGATTTGATTTGCCTGAAGCACCGCGGCTGATCTGGGCCCGTTTACTTGAGATGGCGTTGCGTAGGAAATATATACGAAAAAAGAACCCTCGAGCCGCCACAATACTTGGGAAACTATCGGCATGGGACGCAACGTCGCGTGCGACGCAGGTTCGGGCAAGCAGGGAAGGCGGTCGACAATGCAGAATAGAATTCATATTTGTAAACAAGTCGCGAGGTCTCGATAGGCACACCCCGGACCAATCACAGTAACATTTTCAAGTTGGATTTATCGAGAAGATATCTACATCTACAAGGCTCACTATCACTTCGACTTCAAGGACTGAGTACAAATTATGCAAAGGACAAGAATGCAGAAACATGAAAATGCACAGTGTTCAAAATGCTGGTAGAGCAAGGAGCTGATGGAATTGAAGAAAGCTTACCGACGAAACACTAATCTTTAACTACACCATCCTTGAACATGCTCGAACAATCTGCAGATGGGGACTACTCTGGGATTGCATGACGCAGGAACAGGTAAGCAATCAGAGAGGGAAAAAGTATTATGTGAGAGACCCCATGCCAGATCCCGTGGTTCCGGTGCCGGGTGTGGTTAGCTGCAAACGACTAGAAGTTTATGAGTCTGATTTCGAGGTACGATCTCAGTGTCAGTGGTTCAGGATTTGAAGTCGGATGGGAAAGTCGGCGCCAGGGGTTTAAGAGTCATTGTTTCGTGGCAGGCATACAAGCAATCAACTGTCCCGAGCATCCCAGAGTCTCAGGAGTCAACCAAAACCCTCAAAACTCGAATTTAACAGTTCGTGGAGTTCCCACTACCTGGACATTCCAACAAGCCTTACCAACATCTACAAACTCAAGAGCTTTGAATATTCAACCTATGTCCGAAGCTGTGCTGGTTCAGGGTTACCCAGGTTCTACATTTTCCAGCACGTACGGCACCCCAAGGCCACGGGCGCAAAGATGCCCCAAGTGCCAGTTGCAGAGATAGGCACGATTCAGTCTTCACTAGTCTTCAGCTTGATCCTGGCCTTGGCCTTAGGCCGAAAGGCAGCAAAACAAGCAGGAGACTGATGGAAACCGCTGAGAAGTCGCATATGGCTGTTTGCTCTTATGCTGTCGACGACCTCTGGCGAAAGGTCACGCCACATCACCTTGCACACAGACTGAAATTGCACACCATGCGTGAATACACGACAGGTCTATCTCGGTTGCTTAGATCAGGCAAGTTTGACTTGCATGGTTGCAGCAGTCATGGAAACTTCGTCTTTGGGAGGACTTCCTTTCGATCACACTGATGGCTATTAATATAGCTGTGCACAACCAACAGCAAGATGAAAGGTAGTGTTACACCTCTTTGTCCCAATTCACCGGAACGAACATGTCCAACCTTTTGCTGCCGAGATGGAAACAGTCCTGGTTTTCATGCTGTCATGCTTGTCATGGACTTCGGAAATGAAACAAAAACAACTTGCGTCAACAAGCCGACGAATCCTGGATCAGTGGATCATGTACACGAAATCCGTAAAATTCTTGAGAGATGATGCATCCGATATGATATAGCCTGACAGCGACCTGTACCCTCGAAACATATCCACTTAAATTTGCTCGTCTGGTTGTGAAGTGATCCATCCAATTATCACGTGACCTCGTAGCCATGCAAGGGGGCTCAACTCGCAGATTGCAAGTGCCTTTGGCAAAGCCTGCAATCCCTCGCGGAGACTGCAGCACTCTCGCGCTGACTGCGCCCATACACCTCGAGGCCTCGATGCTATGAGGTAAAGACTGCTGCGAGTTGGCTAGACGCGACCAAAGCATCTCCGCGCGGGCCCTCTACCGAGGCTTGCGAATTATAGCATCGTCGCCGTATGACGTCCATCCAAGGATGGTGACCTCGTGTACTTGATGTTCGGACTCCTGCAGGAACCGTAGAAATTTCTCCGATCCTGCCCAGAACAGAAAGTCAAGCCCATCCACGTCCTGTCGGGGGTCGCAAGCAGCCGGTGCGACGACAATGTAGCAGGCACTGTATGTACGGTGACAGGGGCTCGAGGTGAATAAACTCCTGCAGAAGTTCTGCAAGCACATGTGTCACCCTTGTGGCAGACTCACATCTGCTTGTCGACGAGGGACCACCAGGAAGGGGCGACGCCGTCCCAGAAGCCACATTGCCAGCAATCGTTCGGACTCCTGGTCACCAACTTGTTTGGCGATGCTCTCGTGACTGGCCTGCACATGATTTGGTTGCAGCGCCTTGTGCTTGCGAGTTTGACGGGAGTTTGCAGAAAGAGGTCCACGGCTTCGCTTGCCTCGGAAAGCAAAGCAGCAAGACAGGCGTAAGCCAGACATTCGGTTACAGGCGAGGCTCGGCAAAATAAAAGATCCCATGACCGGCGGCGAGGCGTGGCCAGACACAGCCGCCAAGCCTTCAGAGCTAAGACGGGGCAGCTGCGAGTCACTCAGGGAAGGCATCTCGCCTCCTCGGGCATCTATCTTCAGAGAGCCTGGAGTTGTTGGTTCGAACACCGCCGGACCTAAAGTCAAGTCTGTTCTGGCATCCCTTGTGCGCTCCGCTCCCAGTGCTATGCGCCCAGCTTTCGTCGCTCGTTTGCGGGGAGCTTGCCTTTCAAAGGCTGAATATCACGAGGGTACCGAGCATCTTGCAGAGCGATGTGGGTCCAGCATGTACACTGGATTGGGCACAGAAGAGACCGATGCGGGGGCAGGAAGGCTATACTTGAAGTACTGCATGGCCTTGAAAACGATCGCGGACTACTTATGCACTGTGACTTACGAACACGCAGTGCCAAGATGCGACTTTGCTTGCGTCGGCATTCCTGATCGCAGTGCGAGGCATGACGGCGAGGGAAGCTGCTTATAGAGCCCGCAAGCTAGCCTAGCTGAAATGAACTTGGCACCAAAGCCGGCGGCAGGCAAGAATCTTCCCGGATGCCACGAGACTGCTCTCCATCGACGGGTGATTGTCCAGCCAACGCAACTCAATGTCAGCGATCCTGCTCGCAAATCTCATGAAGACACAGTACGATATCCTGACATTGAAATCACATGCACCAGCAGCAAGCAAACAGTTAAGACAGGTCATGTCTAAGTCAGTGGCTTCGTCTGTTGAGAGGCCATCTTCCGGTGCACGGATTGAAGTTCTTCCCGAATCAGACCGCTCTCCTGTCAATTTGAAGCAGCGTATCCAGCTGAACATCCAGCTACAGTGGCTTTGGAGACTTGAACTGCGATTGTCGACGAAAACTGGCTTAGCGCAAACATGCGTGAAGCAGCAGTAGCAGCAGCAGCAGCTGCGGCAACAGCATGCAGTACACCCAATCGAATGCGTGAGTGACATCTCTATATGCGTGGGCATCGAAAGCGTGTGTGGGTGTGTTGTCGTGCGTGCGCTCATGTGTATATGCGTAGTTGTGTACATATGTCTTTATATGTATGTTATATATATATATATGCATATA